TCTTTGTATGCACGATACTCTATTAACTATTATATTATTTTACATAACTCACGAACTTATGTCATGACCACCAAGCATGTCTGATGAATAGTATTCCATTATGTTGGTTACATTATTTCTCTTATATGAACTTTCATCTGAATCTGACTTAAATAATTAACTCAATATGTTTATGCATTATTTTTTTATTGGATGTTTTTTAGTTGTACATCCTTCTCTAAAATATACTTATAATATCAAATGTTGTTACAGGATTTAGAAGTATTTTTCATCTTTCCATTAGGTATTGAAACATCTACATATGGAGTTCAAATAAGATAGAAATCTTTTTGTAGATGTTTTTATATTCATCAACTAACTATGCATTTACAAGAATTTTCTTAATAAATAATTTTTTATAATAAAAAATATTCTCTTTAAAAACTTAAAATTAATGTAAGGTGGAATGGGCATAAGGTGATACAAGTTCATGTAAATAATTAAAAAATAGATCATAGTGAATTTAATAATTTGAGAGAAATTCAAGCAAAATTATATACACAAATATTTACTTATTGTATATACTATTATATTTATGTTTATTATGTAAGTAATTTGGACCATCTAATTAAAGCAATTTTTTTTCATTTCATGCAAAAAATTTTATCTCAAGTTTTAGAGTTTAGAGATCACAGTGCCCTAATGTCTTTATAGCATGTAGAGCAACATTGTTTTAATTTTGCCATAAGATAAGTTGGAGGTTAGCAATAAATTGATGTAAAGCCAATAGATCAAAAATTTAAGTAGGTTGATAGTAGAAGCATGAAAGATATTTATTAACTTGATTGTCATTAATCAAGCATAAAGCAAATAGATTCGAGATTAACTTAAACTATAGAGCCTTCATTTATGCATAATGATGATTTTAACATAATAGCTCATTACTTATAGTGGTACAAATTTTAAGCATCATTGTATCTACTTCAAACTGAGTCTTAATATCTAATAACTTATTAACACAGGGCACATAAAGAATAATTTTATGTACATATATTTTATATTTAACTAAATTTAATATTATATTTTTTTTTATAGGAAGAGATTAAATTTTTATAATATATATCAGATGCACCTCCTTTGATTATATTGTTCCTTTATATTCTTATAATATTTTTTATAAATAAAACTAAACAGAGCAAGAAAACAAATATAAGTTTGACAATAACTAAGAAGAATAAGGAGCTTATGAGGACCACAAGAAAAGACCAAACACTAGGGTCACATGTCATTTCTCCTGAATGTAGAAGTGGACAAGTTCCAATAATTTTTATATGATTATAATGGTATAATCATAGTAACTAATCATTTAATAGTTAAAACTTTATTATTAAATGAAATTTTGTTCTTTCTCAAATATTTTATTGGATAAACAAACTCATTTATATACTAAATTATTGATCCAAAATCTTTAGATATTGTGCTTGTGCATTTTTATATTGTAATTTAATGCATAAGAAATTAGTAAGGTTTTTTTAAAATATAAATAGTTTCAAAATTGAGAATATAAGTAATACAAAATTATTTTCTAAAAAATATAACATGAAAAAACAATATGTAAACAATCCCATTACAAATATTGTACTCTAACTATATATATATAT